TACAAGTCTTCCTGTGGACATGTTTATTTCTTATTTATTATTTTTCTTGAGACAGGGTCTTGCTCTGTCACCGAGGCTGGAGTATAGTGATCATGGCTTGCTCTATCCTTGTCCCAGGCTCAAGTGATCCTCCCACCTCAGCTTTCTAAGTAGCTGGGATTACAAGTGTGTACCATCATGCTTAGTTAATTTTAATATTTTTGTAGAGATGGGGTATCATTATATTGCCCAGACTGGTCTCAAGCAGTCCTCTTGCCTCAGCTTCCTGAAGGGCTGGGATTACAGGCATGAGCCACCATGCCCGTCTTTCTTTTTTTTTTTTGAGATGGAGTCTTGCTCTGTTGCCAGGTTGGAGTGCAGTGGCATGATCTTGGCTCACTGCAACATCCGCCTCCCAGGTTCAAGCAATTCTCCTGCCTCAGCCTCCCAAGTAGCTGGGACTATAGGCACGTACCACTATACCTAGCTTTTTTTTTTTTTTTGAGACGGAGTCCCACTCTATCACCCAGGCTGGAATGCAATGGTGTGATCTTGGCTCACTGCAACCTCCGCCTCCCGGGTTCAAGTGATTCTCCAGTCTCAGCCTCCTGAGTAGCTGGGATTATAGACGCACACTACCATGCCTGGCTAATTTTTGTATTTTTAGTAGAGATGGGGTTTCACCATGTTGGCCAGGCTGGTCTCGAACCCCTGACCTTGTGATCGGCCTGCCTAAGCCTCCCAAAGTTCCGGGATTACAGGCGTGAGCCACTGCGTCCAGTCAGTTTACATTTTTCATCATATATGCAGAGACAATCAGGTGTGTCTGTGGAACATCTACAACATGTTGTTCCACTCACTGCCCAAATCAGGGAGAGGAGATTCTGCAGGTTCGTTTTGTCTTCCTGAGGAGTCTCTCTGGGGTTTATATAGGGGAAGGGCTCCAGGAGACCCTGACAGCACCTACTTCTGTAACTGAAGTCTCACGGCCGTAAGGAAGCATGAAAAGGTGCCAGCATGGGCTTGAGAAGGGTTTTGACATCGTCCACCAATATGTCCCATCTCCCCTTCAACTCTTCTCTGACCCGGCTGAGATTCTGCAGATGCCGCCTCACCTGGCTCTAAGAGGATTGGGGCAGGTGGTGAGTTAGATTAGGTCAAGGCCGGGGAAACCTGCTAGGGAAAAACGCAGGGACTGAGAGGGAGGGAGAGAGACTAGGGAAGGAGCGGGAAGGGGGAGCACGGGTCTGCACAGGGCAGAGAGAGATAGGAGATGAGTCAGAGGAGGGAAGAGATATGGGAGGAAGGTGTGTCTAAATGGCAAAATAATAAGATCACCCATTTATTCCGAGCTTCCTGAAAGCTAGGCTCTGTGCTGGGTATGTAAATGGCACAGTTCCATGTTGCTACACCCCACACGTATGGAGAAGATGTAGTTGTTACCCAAAGTCTCATGGACATCCAGCTGTCCACAGGTCCTCCTCCAAAGAGTCCAAGAAGCAGATGAGCTTGGTATCACTCGATAGAGTGGAGGGTTTAAGGGCTGTGCTCTTTGGCTGGGTGGACTGGTCCATGCTCCGACTGAATCTTTTCAGTCTTCTCAGAAAGGCACTTAAACACCCTGAGGTTTGGTGTAACCCCCCATAGGCAAAGGGATTACAGACTGCCAGCCTCAAAGGACCTTTTGTAAGGATATTAGAGCGCACAGGACAGCTGCTGTCACATGGGAAGTGACACAGGCTGGAGAGACCCTGTCTGTTCTGGTTTTGAGGGCAGGAGACTCCCATGCCTCAGTTTCCCCTTTTCTTTGCACCTCACTCTCCCTCTCTCCCTCTCTCCCTGCCCCTCAGTCTCTCCCTTTTTCCACCGCTCTGCCTCCCTTGGGACGGTCTCAGTGTGGTTTTCTGTGTACATCCCTCTCAGGGTCTCTCTGAGGAGCAGGAGGGTTTTTCATTATATCCCGGCAGTCTGTCCCCACCTCCAACCGCAGCCTGTCACATGTTTCCCCCAAATCCGCACTAATTCTCCCTATGTTTTGCTGAGGCTGGCCTGACCTAAGAGGATTGAAGCATTTGCTAAATGAGACTTGGACAGGGTCAGAATACTAGCTGTGGGAAGACACAGGGGCCAGGATGGCCGCAAGGTGATGGCAAAAGAAGCAGGAGAGGAGAGGACAGAGGCAAGGGGTGGCATGCTATTGGTGCAAGGACATAGAGACCAAGAACCCAATAGAGACTTTTTGTAGAGCCAGTCATGGTGGCTCACACCTGTAATCCCAGCAGTTTGGGAGGCCAAGGTGAGGGGATCACTTGAACCCAGGAATTCAAGACCAGCCTGGGCAACGTGGTGAGACCTTGTTTCTGCAAAAAGTAAAAGGAGATTAGCCAGGCATCGTGGTGTGTGCCTGTGGTCCTAGCTACTCAGAAGGCTGAGGTGGGAGGATCACTTGAGCCTGGGAGGTTGAGGTTGTAGTGAGCTGTGATTGTGTCACTGCACTCTAGCCTGGGCAACAGAGTAAGATCGTGTCCAAAAAAAAAAAAAGCCAGGTGTGGTGGCTCATACCTGTAATCCCAGCACTTTGGGAGGCTGAGGCTAGCGGATCAATGAGGCCAGGAGTTCAAGACCAATGTAGCCAACATGGCTAAACCCCGTCTCAACTAAAAATACAAAAAATTAGTTGGTGGTGCATGCCTGTAAACCCAGTTACTCAGGATGCTGAGGCATAAGAATCACTTGAACCTGGGAGGCAGAGGTTGCAGTGAGCTAAGATGATGCCATTGCACTCCAGCCTGGGCAACAGAGTGCACAGTGAAGGACAGCAAATGTGCCACCCCTGCAGCCGGGTGGGTAAAGGGGTGGTGATTCACTGCCAGATCAAGTCACCAGCAGTGTGGACCCCAGCC